CTGGACAGGTCCCAAATGGCCAAGGAGAAAAGATTGCAGACTGTGTTTTGGCAGAAAAACACAGAGAAAGATCTGTTGTCTATTTCTTATGGACCCTTTGAAGTTTTCTGGATCTAATCTGATTTTTGCCTGTCATTCTTTGCCAAAAAAGATAAACCTTGCCAGGGAAAACCCACCTTCCCTTATCCTCACGCTAATAAGAATACAAATGGTCTGTTTTAAATATCAAACACTTAAAATGTGGAGTTTTTCTTCTGCGATGTGTTTGAGACTTTGATATTTCCAAGCTGCCATACTTGCAACTGCAACTGACCCAGCTTGTTCCTGGCTAAGTCTCTCGTGTTTGACCAAATTCAATCAGAACACGGGCCTTGGTGCACAGCTATCACCCCATCAGCTCCATCTGTACTCCACTGACACGGGAGATAAAGGTTTATTTTCTGAAACATCTGTGTTTCAGTGTCCAAACTGCTCCCCCCCCCCCCCCCGCCTAAATTTTGTACTGATAATGAAAGTCTTCTGGAATTCTGTCACTCAGCAATTGCTTTTAATATTCTCTAATACTGTATTAAACAATACCACTGTAGTATTATTAGCCTTCTCTTTTTAGGGTCTAGCCTACCAAAATCCGTAAGCATAATCTTACCTTTCAGCCTTTCCCTTGTATTACTTTAGTTCTTACTTTAAGATGCCATGTCTTGCTGTGTGTGGGACTGCTCAGTAAGACTGAAGACTCATTCAGCTCAAAATGATCATGCAACCATCCCCACATTTATGATTCCGGGCCTGCCACAGATATCAATTTCTATTTACTACGCATTACTGTAAGCAGAACACTGAAAATTTTATACCTATTTGCAGCACTAACATGTTAAAATGCCCCAAATGCCATTTTGCAATCACTGCAGGCAGATGCTTTTTAATAGCGTTATTCACATATGAGGATTATCAGATAACTCGCAAAGCTGCAGCTCAAGTAGGTGCTAATTCAAAGGAAAATAAAGGCACTGGGCAGGAGGAAGACAGGAACAGGAGGCCAGAAAACAGCACATTTGTATTCAGAAGGCAGTAAATATACCTTTGAAACAGCTGCTGTGGCACTGTCACTTTAAAGCTTGTGTCCTCCTCCCGGCATGGAACGCTCTCCCTACCTGCTGCACACAGACGCACTGCTACACACACTGCTCTCCATACCCTGGTTTACCTGCTTGGAGCTCCTTTATTGTCCAGACCAACGTAACAAAACCCACGCGGCCCCACACAAGCCTTCTACCCAAATCTACTTCTTGCCTCCCCAGCAGTATGAGGCCAGATTTCCATTCAGTAATGGCACCAGGCATTTACCAGGGCACGCTCTTATTTTATTGAGGTCATTCCAGATTTTTTCTTCCTCTCTCTACAGCTGCATTAACAGCTTCCTTCCTATTTTTAAATCAGTAGCTAATTTCAGCAACTAAGTGCTTATTGTTTTTTTCAGGGTCACTCATAAAACAAACACCATTATTGATCTTTCTGAATCCACCACCAATTTTTCCCTTTTATCTCATCTGAGTGTCTATTCAATGGGCAATTTCTCAGTAGTACAGGACATCTATCCTGGATAAATCAGGGTATCCAAAGAAAGAGATCTTTCTGTCCATGTGTGCTAATACAACTCCTATTGCAGCAGTAGCCAAGCAACTCATAAGTGTTATTGGTTTTTGTCTCTACAACATCTTTTTAGAGGGAAAAGTGCTATTACTTGTCCTTTAAAACAGGGGAACCAAGACAGAGAGGGCTGTCGTCTCTCAGAGGCAAAGACAGTTTACAAAATGTAGAATGAAATGAATCCTTTTTCTCCTATATCTTAACCACATCAGCATCTTCCCTCTATTTCCATACGTACCCTAGACACACGGTTGCTTATTTGTTGGATTGCAGGACCTGGATTGTTGAATTACTGATGACCTGGCCAGTTGGTATTTATCACACATTTTTAATCAGTATCTGAAGACAAATGACATCACAGGTGAACATGAAAAAACCTGTTAGACCAAACTGCTGCAGTACTTTATCCGCTCTGACTATTCAGGTTCAATACAATTCTTGGAGCATGATTCAATGTAATTCTTGGAGCATAAGCCCTAAACCTACTCATTGTCCCAGTTCAGCTAAAGGACATTCTGGCTTTGCCCCAAATAACACGATACCAAAATGAAAAGCAGCCCTTCCAGGTGGTAGGACCCAAGTGACATCTTCCACATACGGCTCTCTAAAAGCATCTCTGAAGACAGTGCACTTACTCACCAATCCTACTTCAACAAGATATGCAAAGATAGAAGATTTACTGGCCATTACCATTTCTGCTAAGTGTAGCAGATTTGGTCCTTTTCAAATTAATCCTAGATTGATTCACAAAGAAACATTAAATGCAGTTTGACTGCTATAATAACGCGCCATCAATCATTAGACAAAATTTTTCAATGGTCCCTCTGTGTATCATCACTATTTGGCCACTTTCTTTAAGATTTCTCTCTCTTTTCCTACAGCAGTGAAAGACAGCCTTGTTCTTGCTGACCAACACACTCCCAAAGAGAGGGTGGAGAGCTAACGGCTTAGGACCAGACTGCTGCCTATGCTGGATGTGTCCGTAGCGTTGTGCCACTTGGGGTTGGCTGTGCTCACAAGCATTAAACCTAATGAGACGAGAACTGAGCGAGGCCCAGGTCCATTGCAGCTCCTGGAAGTTGAGCCAGCTTTTCTGCATGACAGTACCCATGGACATGGAAACACATGGTCCACTAAGATCCAGGACAGTCGTGCCTGTGCGCTTCATTATAGGGAAGGCCTTCTTGTCCTGCTTTAGCACTTCTCAGCTCTATTAAACACAGTTTGAGAAGTATGTTCTTGCACAGGAAATTCCTGCCAAAGGCTCCACAGATACAAAGTACTACATGGTAGAGAAAATAACACTGCCATTTTAATATATTGTGACTTAAGCTAGTATATTAGCAGTGAAATTGGTTGATTTTCACGTTAAAATACAAAGACCATACATGTCAGTTGTGTAATGAACAAAGAAGCAGGTAGCAAAAACTCAAAGATTTTGGAGAATGTAATCCCCTGGAAAAAGGGCATTCAGTTAATCAGAATACCTGTCTCAACTTAGACAATTCTTCTCTTCTCATTCACATATCATAATGCTTTCTGGAAACAAAACGAAGACCAATGTCATCACCAGGATTTCCCTTCACATAAGGAAGGGCATATCAGGCAAAACCTCGCTACAAAAATGATGTACAGTTCCAGTAAGGACAGCACAAAGAGGATTTTTAGCGGGTAACACATTAGCATCAGGCAGATATCAGCCTGGTCTCACATGAAGTTGTATGTCACTGCACTGCAAGCAACAGGAGCAGCACATTCAGAGACCCTTGACATCCAGGCCAACTACACCAATGCCCCCAGCCTGCCAGATGATCAACTCTGGGGTCTCTGCAGTTTCCACCTCAGCTTGCTAAATCATATTCAAAGCAGAGAGACTGCTTTATCTTCACTTGAACTCCACATCCTGTTAGTTTGCACAAAGGAAGTGAGTTACGTTAACAGCACACCTATTTTTTCCTAATGAAGATATACTTTCTTGGATATTACTGTCACTCATATACCTATTTAGACACCTAGTTCTAGGCTATGGCCGGTTGTGTAGTGTATAATTAGTAGTGTATAATTATCCTTTAATTATTATTAAAGGAAACAACTCTCATTGAAACAAAAGGGCCCATTCTGCTACTAGGTAAACAAATGGGAATACATCAGAGGCTCAAAAAGGAAAGGGATTAACATGCTTCCATGTGGCAATGGTCTCAACTGTTCCAATTAAAACTTTCACAATAAATTAAAGCATGACAGAGGTAAGAATGAAGTCAATTTTCTGTGGATCGTGTTATTCCACTGACATAAATTGCCATTATTAGGTAGTATATTCAGCAATCAGTATAATGATAGAGTAACAAGACCACAACCCAGTGTTGATTGAGTTTGGCCTTTTGCATGCTAATTTTGGTCTGCTCTGCCAAAATAATTGAATGTACCACCTTATTTAAACACCTCTAGATAATTAACACCCTCTCTCTATTCCTCCTTTACTAACCTTTGCTTAAGCCCGTGGTGCTGGCCTTCACTCCTTGTAGTGTTGGATGTCCAACACCACTTGGCCGCTCCCTCAGCTGCGCTCACAGCCTTTCCATTCACTTTCCACTACTTACACTCATCCTCTCCCAGAGCTCTCTTCTCAAGGGTAATGCTAGATGTCAGCCCATCTTGATCCCGCCCTTCTCTGTTGTACACAACACTTCACTGCTTCCATGCTCTCATAGCCCAGAACCACCAGCGACTTTCCTTGACTAGAAAATGAAGGCGCCAACTACCATGGGATTGCCCCAGAAAGGTTGAAGAGGACAACAAATAAATAGACTCCCACTGCTCGATGCCTGCTAACAAGTTCAAACAACACATTACGCAATGAGTAAACACAATAGTGACCAAAACTGAGGGAAGGGACAGCCTTGTGTGCGTGCCATGCTACCAGACCCCCCTGGAGAAAGCTCTGCTCCGCATTACTGAGGCTGCACCACATACGGATGTCTCAATACAATGGGGCGCTTATCTGGCTGCCAAATGCCCGCCATGCTCTCCCACCACCGTTCCATCACAGCAGCACCAAGTAAAAGGTGACAAAGGGCTAGAGAAGAAAGTCAAGGCAGCGCCAGACAAGGTGAAGCCGGACGATGGGCTGGAGGCACCCGCAGACCCGCGTGCGGGGGGCCCGAGGGGCCGCGTGTGTGACACCCCGCTGGGCGGCCAGGCCCCGCCGCACCGCACCGCACCGCCCCTCGCAGGGCCGCGGCGCCCCAGGGCTGCGCCCACCGCCCCGAGCACCTGAGCGCAGGCCCCGTCCCCGCGGGCGTCCCCGGCCCTCCCCCGCCCGCTCTGGGCCGCGCCGGGCCTGGGGCCCCGTGCCCCGGGGGGAGCCGGGGGGGCCGGGGCGAGGGAGGGCGTATAATAAACAGCATCGCTGTCACGCAGGCAGGGCTGCCGGCTCCCAAAGCCGCCTCCCCGCGATAACAATCCAGGTACAGCCCGCGCTCGCCCCCCTCCCTCCCTCTTCCTCTTCCTCCACCTCCTCCTCCTCCTCCCGGGGGGCCGGGGAGAAATCCGCAGATCAAAGAAAAGATGCACAACAATAGCGGGGTGGGCGCGCACCGCCGCCCCCCGTCCGGCGGGGCCGGGGCCGGGGCCTCGGGCGGAGGTTCGCGGCGGCCCGGCCGCGGCCGCCCCGCGGGAGGGCGAGGGGAGCGGCGGCGGCCCGGGGGACCGGGAGCCCCCGCCGCGGTACTCACCCGGGCCGGCCAGTGCGGGTACCCCTTCATTTTGGCGAACACCAGGTCTCCAGCCTTGTATTCTCGGGGCCGCGGACGAGCCATCGGGAGCCGCCGCGGGAGCCGCCGTCCCCCCCTCCCTCCCTCCCTCCCTCCCACACCCCCCGCGCCCCGCACACGCCGCCCGGGGGCAGCCGGCCGAGCCCCCGCGGGGTGCGATGCGGCGGGGCGCAGCCGGGAGCGGGGCCGGGCCGCGGGCAATCCCCGAGCTCTCCGGCGGCGGCGGCGGCGGGAGGAGATGGGGTGTGTGTGAGTGTGAGTGTGTGTGTGTGAGTGTGTGTGTGTGTGAGTGTGTACGCGGGGGAGGGGGAGGCCTTGGACACAACCCCAGCAGCCCCCGGTACAGGGAGCCGGCTGGCGGCGGGGCGCCTGGCCGGGCGGGGGCGGCCGGGGAGCCCTCACCCCGCGGCGGCGGGCGGGCGCGGCGCTGCCCGCGGCCCCCCCGTGCGAGCTGCTACGCCGCCCGCTCCATCCCCGCCGCAGCCGCCGCGGCCCCGGGAATATGGAGCCGTCTCCTCCGAATTACTCCTCGGGCAGCGACCGAAAACAGGATCTTCTTATCCCCCCCCCCACTCCTCCTCTCCGCCTTCCCCCCCGCGCTTCTCCTTCCTGTTATTTTCTAGGTACACAGATCGGTTTCTATGAAAATAGGAGAGCAGAGAGCGGCTCCGGTCCCTCCCGGCCCTTCCTTCCCCTGCTGAAGCATGACATGGTTCTTTATGCGTGCCTGACATGGAGGCTGGGCGAGGAGCAGCGGCCGCTGCGCCCTGCAGATCGCTGCAGCCGGGTCCCCGGATAGCCCCGTCCCCCGGCACCAAGGCCCGGCCTCGTGGGGTGGCTCCGTGGGGTGCCCCCCAGCACACCCTGCATATGGTCTCCCCGCACCCCACAGACCCCTGGGGCTGCCCCGGCCCCTTCCACGCTGCAGAACGCAGCAGGTCCCAGCGCCCGTACAGAACGCAGCAGGCCGGCACCCATGGCACGCTGCTGGGCTTTCCCATCTCTGTACCCATCCTCTCCACCAACAGCCCTTCCACGTTCCTCAGCACCATGCAACTCAAAAAAAAAAACCAACACAAAAACCAACAACAAAAAAAAAACACAGCACAGCCACAGCAGCAGAAAGACTGATGCTGAATCCATTTAAATTCACTTACATTCACAACAAGGGCTTGGCCTCAGAGAATATTTGGGACTTGGCTCTTGCCACATGATGCCAATTTTTAAAAGCACGCACCTCAGTGGAAGGGAAGCACTGAAATCTCACAGATTTCAAACCCAGACATCACCATTTTTACCATGATGTTACCAGTTAAGTTCTAACATTCAGAAATCAATCGTTATTGATGTTCATTGTACTGAAATGTCATCAAGGGAAGCACTTGCAACCTGGCTCATAAGCAGGAAGGTTTTCCCCTAGGTTTGGATGGAACTAAAGCATGCAGATAGCAGCTATCCCCTTTGCCTTCCATGTCACAAGAACAGCACCTGGCGGCAGGCAGATGGAGGAGGAAAGATGGGGTTGGAAGGGAATGAAGTAAGTGGGTCACAGAACTGCCAGTCTGTAACAGCAAAGAAAGAAGGGAAGCAAGCACCTCTTGTAGCACCTGGTTTGGGGTTGGAACAGGACCAAGAAGGCTCTCACTGCTTATGGTGTCCCCAGGGATGGTTGTGGTACCCAAACACTGCTGTCAACAATGTATGAGTAAATAACATCTAGCGCTTTGGGGTTGTAAAACAGGGTATGGACATCTCTGTTGGGGGAAGCATTACTGTAAAATCATTAACTCAGTATCAGTACCAAACTAACAATGGGGAAAAACACACAAGAAGCTTAATAAGCACTTAGGTAGTTGGCCTGCCCTCTGTCAATGCCATTATTTGCCTGAGCAATCCAGATCAGCGGCAGCTGCCAACACAGCCGCCTTCAGTGTAGGCATGTGGCCTAAGAGCTCACTTTCACTTTCACATCAGATAGGACTTTGCATCCTTTTACATTTATACCTCATTGCAGTTTAAATTCCCTTCCAAACAAATGTCATACAAAATCTCTGACCACAGCAATTGAGGACTCTGATCTGAATCTGTTGGAAATAATTCAGACTGCTGTGTCCATACTTCTGCTGTCATCCAAGGCAGCCTTGTTTCCATAATACTTAGGAGAAAGGTGGAGCTGATTTATTTATTTTTTCCTATTTATATGATTTGCTTTTCATTTACAGGTACTAACAGCTCTTTTTAGTAACTTATTTAATGACCTTAAATCACAAATGAGCAGGATATGTGCCTATTCCTTCTAAAAGGAGACTGTATGGGCTATATGCATACACATAGGTGTATGTGTATACATATGATAAATGTATTGTTAGTTAGAACAGCTAATTCAAAATATCTCGATACCGATCTGAAATTTCTCATCAAAATATTCACTTTTTATTTTAAATTTTCGTTCATCCCAACACTGGTGTCTGTGGAGGATGCAGAATAATAATATTTCTATTCTGCAGTATTAGAACTAAAGGAAACTCATCCCATAGACGTCCAGGGACAGAGGTCTCTTTATCTCTTGCATATCAGCTGCAGTGGATATGAGTTGCCAAGGCAAGATTTCAAGGTAAGAACTCTGCTCATCTTGGACCAGCTGAAAATTCTTAAATATGCTTTGCAAACAGTCCACCATCAAGCTGTAGTTAATATGCTGAGAAAGGATGGAAGAAGCTGCAAATTTCACTGCTGGTAAATGAGAAATCAAATGCTCCACACGTTAACAGCATGGAAAATGACCTCAGCAGAAATAAGAAATGAGTTTCTTAGTGTGCATAACTCCGTCAGCCACTGATTACAGCACACAAAACATGAGACCTGCACAGGGCCCGTTCCACTTTGTTTCCTGCATTCTATCTCCCTCTGAATGGAACATTATCTACCTCTTCTACTCAGAAACGGGAAAGAGAAAAATCTGCTTCCCATCCTGCTGCCAGTTGCTATATTTCCTGGGCAGGGTGATATGTACAAGCAGGGGACAGGGAATAAAGGCAAAGGCCCCGCAGGTCCATGCAGAGAAGCGACACGGCCAGCTATATCGCCATCAGTCACTGAGATGAGTGGTGGCAGAGGGATCTGTCCTGAAGTTGTGGCCAACCGGTGGATTTTGCTTTCCCAGTGATTCTCAGGGAACAGTATTCTTAAGCTATGGAGAAGCTTTAAGCCAGTCTTGATTATTCCCTGCTGTTCACATGAGGAGTAAAAAAGCTATGTAACTGGTTGAACATTTACATAGGGAATAAATTCCATTGACTGAACAGAGTGTGGATCAATCCTTAAGAAAAATGCACATGGACATAAAAGGCCTAATTTCAAAAGCATCCTCCAAAGTCATGATTAAATTTTTAAACACACCTAAGTTTTGCTCGAAGTACTCCATGATCACGGTGAAAACACACCGTTATTGGACATTCGTACGCCGCCTTCTCTGCAGACCTTATTCATATTGCAGTCTTACACTTGCTGCTTTGTGACATGCTGCTTATATAAATGCACAAAGATCATCATATTATATTGCCTCTGACATTCTGTCTCTGATCATCTTATAGCATTTACTTTCTCCACTCAAACCCCTTCTAAGATCAGACTATAGACTTTACTATAAGATACTGAAAAAAACCCTCCTTTTTACTTGTGTGTCGGTAGCTGATACAATTTCCTTTCCTTCTGCATCTCTTTTTTCTGCATGTAAAAATGTGTTAGTGATGATCATGATGATCAGTAATTTGCTTGTGTCCACAGTAAGCTAGTGCTTATCTGTTAAATATTTTATTAGGAAATAGTTCTGAGTCACAACTGAGCCATTCCCCTGTGCAACACGTCTGAGAGCACTGTCTGCAACCGCTGCACTCCTTCAGGTCAGCAGAAAGATACCATACTGTTGTATGTCCATCCCAACATACACAGAAAGGCACTTACCATGCCCATTAGGATATTCTTAATTACTGGAGATAAGAAGCTCACCAGGGGATCTCAAACCTTCTCCATAATAAGCTTAGAAGGGAGAAGGATATGTATCATAGCTGGAGCTGGTTATATACACCCTGTTTCATGAATCTGCTTAGGTTATACACTGGGGCAATCTCCTAATCATATTAAATTAGACCATCTTCAAGGCGACTGCTTTACATGTTGCAGAGGTGTGAATATATATCCCAGAGGCTGAAAAGGTTGGAGTACTTCAGTGAAAATTACCTCCTGTGTGGTTGGGAGCCTTCTGTTGATGGCTGGAAAGATTTGTATGGGACAGAAATGTTATTAGCAAGTATGCATTGCCTCCATTCCTTGTTCTCTATACTATACTGTGGCTAAAGCTAGGGCAGATAATAGATGCCTACAGTCAGCACAGGTTAGCGATTTCCAGTTCAAACCTTTGCTTTCAGTTGCTTGTATGTTTTTCATAATGTAACCATCAGAACTGAAATTTTCCATGATGATTGTGCGGCTAATAATAAAACTCCCACAAGTTCTTGACAATGATGGTAGAAGAAATAACTGTACAATTACCAAATTGCCAGGTACCTTTTGCTGCCCTAAGAGTGTCCATAGAAATGTAGCCAAGTTGCAAGACTGTGGGAAACATTCATATGCAGCCAATGTGGGCTGATAAACAAGTCTCAGATGTTCTGTTGGGACTAAACATGCTCTAAGCTAAAGTGAATATGCTCGGGAGTAAGCTAAAGTTCAGCTCGGGAGTAGAGATGACTGTGGATGCAATGCTCATGGAAGGAAAAGATGGCTGTTTCCCTACTAATACCCAAACAGTACACCAGGGTGGAGTGACCAAATATCTGTGCAGAACTGGGAGAAACTGAAAGGGGAGCAGGGAACAGTTAAAGACTGGGAAGGTCATGGGAAAAGCAGCCAGAAGTGGAAGAATGCAAAGATTTCAGAATGTCATAGAATATACAAAAAAAAATCCACATATATTCTAACAAAATTCTGTGGCCCAATGTGTTTCATTCTCTTCCTCTAACTTATCTATCAGAGATAATGATCTATGAATGTGCTGCCAGTAACGTGTCATCTCAAAAGGAAGTCTTGACACTGCGTTCAAAGGTGTCAGACTCTATGACCTTCTAAAGTCTCTAAGTGAGAATCAGCCCAAGCTTTTCTATGGGGGTAAAAACAGACAAGCCCAGAAAGAGATTATTAAAGATTGTGTCACAAACCACCCAAGAGGAAAAATTTAAAGTTGTACCAGCAACCCAGACCTGTGTATTTTCTAACATTTGACTACCTGACTATGCAACTTCATTCTTCTTTGAATTTTCTTTTGGATCATTTCCAAAAGAAAGATACAAAATTTCTTTTGGATCGTCACGTAATTTGGCAGCTGTTTGTTGAGAAATGCTCATCAAAATTCAGTACTTCCACTAATATTCAATAAATGCAGTTTATTCAATAAGCTAACACTCAAAAAACATAGTATCAAGGTTATTGCATTGGACAGAAGTTGCCCAGTCTCCTTTCACTTTGCTGTTCCCATTCTTTAAAGAATTTGGTAGAGATGTCACTCATCACAATGAAATTAATGTATTTTCATCTTCATTTGATATACCAATCTACAAAATGCCTTCTAGAAAGGCTGGGTGACAAGCACCATCTCTCAAGCCATAAGGCCATAATACCTAGGAAAGAAAACCTGCAACCGACATTTCTCCTCTGGAGACATATTTTAAATGTGTCACCTAAAGCCCTAGAAATTTATTGGCTGAGAACTATGTTGAGAATTGGCAGGAACAATAAATTTAGCGCCAGATTCATGACACTTATCCCACCATAGTTTTCCCTTATAGATACTGGAGTAAAGGATTTCTCTCACATGCCCTTCGGTACATTCATCACAGTGCCTTTAGGAATGTGCCTTAATGAATAATTACATTCCAACATGGACAGCAGAGCGTATTTACTTAAGGAGCTTTGTAACTTTACTTTTATGTCACCTGAATGACAGTTCCAGAAAGGAGGGAACAGAATGAAATAATATGACTTGCATGCCACCTCTTGAGACTGTCACTGCTTTGTATCAAACACTCTCAGGAGCAGGTTTGATGTTGGGATTTACTCTGGAATTCACTTGGGTTAAAGAACCTAAGCTCTGAATCTTATGTTGTAATGCAGTGTGATGCATAGATATTATAATGAGCAAAATAGTGAATTAATTAATAATTCTATCAGATGTTTCTTCCTGGATAGTTTGGCATTGACAGGAGTTTAACAGAATCCACACTGAGCTACTGGAATGTCCTCCCAACTCTGTTGAAATTAGGATAAAAACTCTTAGTGATTTTCCCACGATGTTAGATCTCAAACTTGTTTTACATCATTGTTCTCTATTCTCATGGCCAACATCATCAACCTCTTGTTGACTCAGATCTACAAAATGGGCCTTATCCTCAGATTTCTCCACCTCTTTTACCTCAGTTGCTTCCAAATCTTTCTTTGTATTTATCTATGATATTTTTTCTTCTCCATGAGTGCACTTTTCTCCAAGTGTCACTGCTCTGCTATACTACTTTTCTGAAAGAGTGGTCAAGGACTGGAATAGGCTGCCCAGGGAGGTGGTGGAGTCACAGACCCCGGAGGTGTTCAAGGAATGTTTGGATTTTGTGTTGAGGGACATGGTTTAGCGACTACTATTGGTGATGGGTGGACAGTTGGATTGGATGATCTTGAAGGTTTTTTCCAGCCTTGGTGATTCTGTGATTCTGTGTTCTTTTTTGTCTTCTCCTGCACTCGTTCCCTCTCTCTCCAATCCACGCAAAGCAGTGCTCCGCTCTATCTGTGTTCTACACCCTGGTTTTACTGGATCAAGTATCCTACTGCTTCTTTCTCACCTTCTCACCCTTGTTCCCCCAAGACCTGCTGCCTCATCCCTCCAGGATGGTACTAGTGCTCCAGGGGGTTTAGGATTAAGGACTACAAAATGACTGGGGCTGTAAGTAGTCCTCAGAGGCTGTGTGACTGGTGATGCTGAAAGCAGAGACCATGAGAGTCATCTTCAGTGATGGATGCCAAGGTGGGAATGGACATAGGGAAAGTCTTGGGCGAGTTTGTGTGGATGACACTGCACCTGGTGGATTGCAGGGGAAGGAAGCCGTCACTGGCCAGGCAGAAAATGTGGCTAGTTATTTTTTCTCACTTCCTGATTCCCAATGAAGAAGGACTTGGCTCCTTAGGCAGCCACTCCTTTCCTCTCTGGGGAATGAAGGGAAGCTGGAAGGGAGAGATTGAAGCTGCTGATCATACCACCACACTTGGTCTGAAACATCATCACTTAAGTCTTCTGGTGTACTCCAAAAGATCAGCACACCGCCCTGAGCAGCACAAGAACTGCTTCCAGCTGGCTCTCATGAGAACTCCTGAAAAGCACATTTCTTCACACATTCCACATCTCCACTGCCTCCAGATCATGTTTCTTGCAGCGGCCTGCAAGGCTGCCCCTTCCTACTTACATCTTGTCATGTGGCAGCCACATGTTGATTGTCTCCCTGCTAGCCATGCCAAAGCTAATATCCTGCTCACCTATTTGTTTCTCAGAGATCTCCAGCCTGTGCTCCCTGCTTGTGACATGTCCTTCTTATGCTGCTTCTCAAGAACCACAACCTCAGTCTTTTGAATTCCTTTCCACAAACTCCATCCTGCTCGGACACTCAGGACGACTGATTCAGTTTACCACATTTCTAATGAGGGAGGGTTAGTGTAGCATAGTGTAAAGAACCTGAAACTGGAATGGCATATAGGATGAGAAGAAAAGTTCATGGGTAAGAATGCTTAATGACAATTAAGATTCTAGCTTGTAATTGAGATGACTTTGCCCAGCATATCAGCAATCCCTTTGTTGTATAATGTATCCCTTTCCCCATGGTCTGACTTTGTTTTCCTCAACGCTGCCCTCTTCAAAGAAGGCACAGTTTTCTTCTTCTGAGTTTGGAAAGTTATGTGTTTATAAATAATAAATAGAATAATAATAAATCAGGGCTACTGCACTTGCTAGCAAACAGCCAATATGCACTAGGTCTCTTTGAAGTCAAAGGGGCTGTTTCTGCTGCTCTTTATGCCACTTTCTCTACTTTGGATACAATGAAGTTGCTCCTGTTTCATATACTGAGAAATGACTTGCTAAAATGTGAAATTTCAATAAGCTACAAACACAATAGAAATACTACTAAAAGACAAATACAAATCCTAACAGAATTATGGAGAAAATATTATCAGATAAGAAATTCACCCGTTTCTTGAGAAGTGACACTATTTATCTCTAATTGCAACATAATGACTTGGTAAGGAAATGGCATGCTTCTGTAAACTTGTTTGTTTTCTTCTTTAGCTTTCACTTTTGTTTATGTGGATGCTATCTTATTGAACAGAAATACCAGTTCAAACCTCACCACTGTAGTTCAGAGAACTACAGTGTTTCAGAATAAACAGAAAAATGATACCCATCTTCACTGAGTAGCAGCAAGGGGCTTAGTATATTGCTGGAAGACAAGCATAAAATATTTAGACTGGTTAGTATTAAGAAAGTCAAAGAGAATATTATGAGATGAAGCAGCCAAACAGAATTGGCAATGATAGTCTTATAATGGAAAGGTATTTATAGAGTGTTGTTCCCATTGGACAGGATGCTGCTGTCTTACTCAAGCAAATCCCCCACTGAAAATTTCAAAGGGCATATTGCCTGCCTAGAGATGAGAAGGGACTTGGGGAGCAAAAACGATACAAAAAACTTCTGTCCATTCAAGGCATGCCTGGTAATAATGCCATATTAAATGATCGTATTACATGGTGGTGCAACTACAGTTCTCTGACTTCTGGGCTCTGTGTGCTTGCCATATGGGGCAGAGCTGGCTCTACAAATGTTAAAGTCAGTCTCCGTTGCCATGTCTGTGCCCACAGAGAAGAAAAAGCTCAAACATTGACTTTTTGATATCCAGTGATCGACAGAGAATTTCTGAAGCATGGCTAGCAGTGGAAAGGCAAGAACTGGTACATGTGGTTAGGCATCAGAGTCCTTTAGTTTAAATGTGATGCCCTGACTGCCCCAGTTTAAACAGAGAGCTTAGGTCTCTGAAGGTCTAGCTCTGGACTTAAGTGACATTTTGGATCCTGATAACAGGAGAAAATCCACTGTGCTATACATTGCTGGGTCTCAGGCAGCAATGGTATGAAATGGCAGTGGGCTGTAATGTGTTTTCCCATGCAATATTCTTCTCTGCCAACTGCCAGACTACCAGAATAGCTTTTACTTCCCACTGGTAGCTTAAGGAGCTCACCATACATTTGACTACGGCATCCAGCATAGAAGAATTCAAATATAGAGAGATTACCTGGGTAACAGTAATGTCCATATAACATTAACAAGAAATGGGAAGAATCGAGATTTAGGGCAGTAATATGAACCAGTAACAGCAAGTTACTCTATAATTGAAAACCATGAGCTTTTTTTTATGTCTAGTACTGGCTGTAGACTTGGTGCAAACTGTTTGTTTGCTTCAACAGTGGGATTCTCAGTGAACAGGCAAAAGATATTTCCATTTTGTGTTCAGTTCACAAAGTTAATAAAGTGACAGAAGTGACAGTTGGTACACGAATTAAAGCGAGGACTTCACTCCTCAGTAAATATGTTGTTTAGAGTAATAATCATTTAATAATAACTGGCTTTGTAACAAAGGCCACTAGGCCAAATGCTCTTGGTGTGACTTTGCTGGCAGCGATACAAGGAACGATTCAGCCAGGGTGTACCCAGTCCTCTGTGGCAAAAGGCAACAAAAAGAGGCATACTCACACAAGCTTACCGAGTGTTCTGCTCATTTACAGGCTATTAATGAAAAACTAGAGAATTACATTTCTATTAAACATTACTCAATCCATATAAAGAGATAAATAAATGTACAATGGCATTCAGAGAAACGTAAACAGATAATGCTGGTATAAACCTTCAGACATCAAGAGTGTTACATACACATTCCTTGATGCCACTGCATATGAACTCATTCTATCTCTGACACACACACATGATAATGAAGCTATTGGTTCCTACTGATCCTGAGAATCCCTGAAGGGCTGGGCAGAGGTCCAAAGAGCTGTATCATAGCAGGTCATTCTGCCACATATTTGTCTTTTTGACACTAACATTTGCCAGGAAATCCATCATTGTCCATGCAGCACCAACATGTGATATGGTAATAAAAATGTTTATGTGCAGTCTCTGTCAGAGTTTTGCAAAGGAAGCATTAGAGGGAACATAGGTAGTGCTGCACCCTCTTTTTTTTTTTTTTTTAACTCCCTTGCTTTTTTGGCCAAAGCTATGACACCCTTTGATCCACAGTGCCTTTCTTCTGACAGCAACCACTCTAAATACTTTCTTCCTTTCACTTCTTACTGAAGTGTCCCACAAGCTCCTTTATTTGAAGGTTGTACTTCAAGCACCTAAACATAAGGCTTAGAAAGCCTAAATGCTTGTCTCCAGATTCATGGGATGTAGTCCATTGCCAGTCACTTCAAAGGCAGCTGCCCCACTACACAGCATGCTCAGCTCCAATCTGCCACTGAACGGGCAGGAGTAGGGAGCTGCTGCTCCAGTAAGGAGCAGAAGCCAGGTCAGGATATGTACAGTTGTTATTACTGTAATCGATTGCAATGTGGGTTATGCTATGATGCTCCTGGGGCCTGGAGCTTTATTGCAGCTATCTGTACACTGACTGAATCACTCTGATGTCCTACAAAAAAACTCCAAAACATAAATGGCTGAACAAAATTAATGTAGTAGAGACACCTCTATAATGACAAATTCTACAGACAAACTCTTACCTGAAAGTACTAAAGATGATGTGTCTTGATGTTGCCATACATCTGAATATGCCTATGCAGCATCAGAGCTGAATCTCCTCTGAATTCAGTGGCGTTTTCCCTTTCTGGGCTAACAGCTCTGCTGGGGATGGATTTGCTTTCAAAATGCTAATTTATTCCATCTTTAAAGCTGATTCATCCCAAGGCTGGGATTTTGTTTTTTGGTTAGTCGGAATTCTTCAACTAGGAGGAAGCGTCAATATGGTGACAAAGCTAGTTTCACTTCTAAACTGTTAAACCTATAGAAACCAGTTCCATATAATTGCATATATATATATAGGTGCTCCTGACACGTGGCTCCAGCTATTTAGATAGAATGCTTTTTTATCTATGTTTTGGTTTTGACTAAAGTCAGGGAGGCCCAGTCAGGGGCTCCTGCACCATATGAAAGGATTCCACAAGGCTGCTTTAGTGTGAAAGTAAAACCAGATGACACCACAGAAAAAGGGCCACTTGCTTGCCAAAACTGCTACAATTTCAAAATTAATCTACACACATTTTCTTTTTTTCTTTTTTTTTTGTCATTATTTATAACATAAAAATGCTTTTAAATTGGCCTTTATAGCAGGCTTTCCAAACAACTTTTTCTTCCCATTGGATTTCTAATCATATAATTTCTAATATGAAAGGAAAATAATGTATTTCTCTAAAATTAGCTTGTTTTCAGAAATACAGTAGGTTTCCTACTTTCCTTACAATGCAGATACTGTGCACGACAGGTACAAACACTAATCAAAACAACCCACATTCTAAAGCATTCCACAGGTGACATTTCCCTTTTAGCTGTAACCTCAATTTTTTAATCAAATTTGAGTGCAAGTAACCTTTTGTCCAGTGCTTGATCCTCTATAAAATAATTGAGTCAAAAAGCAGCTTCGTACATGCTGTCCTGGGCTGGCCATGTATTCCTTTATGAACATTACTTGTGCTCCTTGTTTTTATCTAAAATTGTTAAAAATATTTCCAGTTTGCATCACTAGAGATTTTAGAATGTTGGATGTTTTAGAATGTATGATGACCCAGAAGCCAAGCACTCAAAATACACCTTACTTGAATTCACGTTTCTCCTTCTACACTAAAATGGCCATCAGAGTGCTTAGATGATGCAGATTGCTCACAGGGAAAAACAATGCAAAGCCAAGTTCATAGGCAGTGTTTGGATATACTTTGGGGGAATGTATTTCTGTTTACTCTGCAGGCCTATCACCCAGGTCAGCAGAGCCTAATTTGTGACCAGTGCCTAGCAAAAGCTATGCACATACAGGTTATGTACATACATTACACTCTGCACCTGTAGAAGTGAGCAGCGAATTTCACAATGTTAGCTTCATTTATGATTAGCAGTAAATAACATAATGTGTACTTGAGTAATATATTTCTCATGGCATGTCAGGGAGGCTAATCTGAATAGATGTGGCTATATATTTAAAATCATACATTCTGTATATTTTAACTATTCCAAGACCATTAATTCTATTTACCACAAAAACAATGCTTTTGTTGTAGACCAAAAAAGAGTCATACAATTTGTCAGGGAGAAGTTACCAGAGGATTCTCCGCCTCTTAAACATCACTAAAACAGGGAGGTCAGTGAGTCCTTTCCATAAGAAAGACATAATGGCTGCAAGGCTGATGGTTTCTTCAAAAAATTCTAGTGTCAAGCAGCCCAGGAGTTCTTAAGACATATCTAGGATACAATGTGAAAAGTGTTTAGTTAGAGGAAAAGAGACAGGCCCAAATAAGATTATGTGGAACACAAAAATTCACTGGGAAAGAATTTTGAACAAGCAGTTGCATATAAAGGCTGGGCTTTGGGGCTGGGTGTGGGATAAAAAAGCTTCAGGCCAAGATCATCTGATTTCTTCTTTAATCAGAGAGTCTGTGACTACATATTCTGTCAAATAAAGAGATGTGTGAACTAAACATGTCTTCACATCCAAGCGCGCAGCACTGGCTAACGGGGTCAACAGAAGCAACAATGTGTTTGTATGAAAATTAACTGGAAGAAACACCAGCAGACAGAGCCATAAAATGCTGCAAAACCAGGAGTTCCGAATTGCTCTTTAGTCTGAGGGTAAACCAAGGAAGTTTTGGCAAATTCTTCTAAGGAAAAAGGGAATTCCACCAGGAAGCTTATACTAAAAGTTAATTTCTCATCCCCTTCAAGAAGTCTGTCAGCCTGTCACTCACAGAAACCTTTACTACCTTTCCTTGTACACATGGCCACCAGCTATATTCTGCTTAATTGTAAGCAAAGAAGACTGTGGTTATGAATGGTTAGGGAAACAGCTTTAAAGGGATGCCATCCAGAGGGACCTGGACACGCTTGAGAAGTGAACCCACACAAACTGAATGAGGTTCATCTAAGCCTCCTTTAAGGTATTGCTGGGGCAATGCTGGGTATGCATGCAGACTGGGAAAAGACTTCCAGAGAGCAGCTCTGCAGAGAAGGACTGGGGGTCCTGGTGAATGGAAAGCTGGACGAGAGCCAGCAGCATGTGCCTGCAGCACAGCAGGCCAACAGCGTCCCAGGCTGCATCAACTGGTGCTGGAGCACCTCTACTATGAAGAGAGGCTGAGGGAGTTGGGCTTGTTCAACGTGGAGGACAGAAGGCTCCTGGGGAGAGCTCACTGCAGAATTCCAGTATTTGAAGAGGTCCTTTAAGCAGGAGGTGGACCAACTGCTGGAGGAGTTTTTTTTTGGTTAATTTTTTTTAATTTTTTTGATTTTATTGTCAAGAAACAAACTTGAGACTCAAAAGCACTGCCACTATTAATAAAGTAGAATATTAGTGAGGAAGATTCTGCAAGACATACTGGCATAAGGATGGTGGCTTCAACATTTCACCGGTCATTTATTGGTGTAGTTAATGACTCTGAAGCTACTTAGCACATGGTGGGTGATGCTAAGCATGGTATACTTGCCAGAACAGCTTGTTCAGCTGGGCTCTTCTCCCTGGGTGCCCTGCCTTAGCCAAACATATTCCCTGCACATTGACCCATGCCATGGACATGCTGCTGCTTGCCAAGACACTGCTGGGTCAGATGGATTGCTTTTGCCCAGAGGTATTCTGAAAGTGCTGCCATTGTTGTATTGGTGCACAGATACAAGTTAGATCTTCTATTTTATTTTAAACAAGCCATTCAGCTAACACAGAAAAGACAAGAGGGAAAAGCCAGATGGAGAACATTTATGCTACCATTAATGGAGCCCTTCCCCGACCTCTGACCTTCCTCACTAGGAGGATTTTCCATGTTTTGCTCTAATTATTAAGAGATATATTTCCCTGAAGTACTGAACAGTTTCCAGCAGAGGTCTCTGCCTACTAATAATTAAAGTTTGGCTGGACTGCTTACACACAGCAGGGGTCAAAAATTGCTCTAAATCACTGGTAGGCTTTGTCCCTTTACAGGATTGAGAAACAAAACTGAGGCCTCATGCATGCGAGAGCCCACCTTCAAATCATCATCTATTTCACAGAGTGGTAATGCCTATCTGTTACATAGATGGAGATTCTCATGAAAGCTTTTCTTATGTAAGATATTTGAAATAAGTCTGCTGAGGCTTGCATAGCAGATGTAGCCTATCTATCTTAACCAACGGGTTTCAAAGATTTAAGAATTAAGAGACAGAGTACATCAGAGAATTATTAAACTGTAAACATCACAATTCTTCTGGATGCAAAACAGACGAATTCAAGGGAAGAAAAGCTTTTTTTCCTCAGAGTATCCTGTGATCCCTAACTTGAGATCTGACTACAATCAAGAGCAACTGCTCCAAGAGATATTTAGCTTTTAGGCTATAATCTCTTTGCTTCTCATCTGTCTCTAACGCAAACTTACTTTCTGGTTATGAGAAAATGATCTATTTTTATGCCTACATTTCCCTGTCTTTAATTTTATTTACTAATCTACTTCACTGACTGGGATGCACACATAGAACACAAGGGATGAAAAATAAGGATTAAACTTTTCCACCTCTAGGTCTGTTCTCTAATTGCTCTGTGCAGGATCCTAATTTACCAAGAAACTTTAAGAAGTCCCAAACAGAGGCTCTTTTGAAGCTCAAACAGTATCACTGGGGTGGGGCAAGTTCCCATCCCTCACCTCAGGAAAGAACTTAACCCTGATCTGTGCCAAGCCATTTGCTGGTATGTACATTTTGCTATGGCAGAGAAGAGTGTGATGCGAGTGTCTCGAGGCAGAATCATCATGCTTCCCTAAGCTAGCAGTACAATTGCAATCCTTTCCTGCATGTTAACATGACAATAATTGTGTTACAGCAACAAGACACAGCTAATGGTTGTTCATCTTGAAACCTTCTATTCTGGTGTTGTCTTTGAACTATATTAAAGATGTTTTTTTCCTTCACGTCCAGCTTTCCAAAAATCATGGTTCCATATTTCAGACTAAAATAAGGCCACTGGCCAGTCCAGCACATCTATGGTATCACCAGCAGCTTTTGTAAAGAGAAGACCACTGGGCAAACGCTACTGGAGCATTCCCAAGGTCTGACCCTACCAATCTCACTAGGTTTTGTAGGGAATGCACAAGGAACTACAAGCCAGTTTCTTAGTAAATATCACTCATACTGCAAAATCTAGCATTGCTGCATGACAGCTCTAGATATGTATGCACATATTCTCTAACATTCACTTTGTTCCCACAAAACATATGTGCCCAGCACAAACTGGGACATTCTAGACAGTACTGGAAGCTTCACAGATAGCACTGAGAGCAACACCAAAACAAATTCAGCCCTAAAATGCAGCACTGGGGAACCTTTCCCACCATCCTGCGCTTAGCTGAAAAACTGTATTGTGGTCTGATGAGAGGCAGACCTGATCCTCTCTCTAGATATCAGGGTTCAGTTAGTGCTATGCAGTTAAATGCTTTCATCCTACAAAGCTGCAAGTCTGGATGGTTGTATACAAAATTCCCTCCTCTTTCTACCTTTTCAGGTAATTGCTGAAACACTGAATATCTTAAGAAATCTTATAGCTGACTCTGGAAAAGGCTGCAATGGATGCCTGGGAACAGGACAACGATACAATTTGGAATCATAACAATAACAAAGATTACTTCTGAAGAAACTATTTTCCCCCTTCTCTAAAGGCAATTACAACAGGGTTCTCTTTATCCTAAGAGTGACAAAGACTGCTTCATTCACACGTCTGACTCTTTGCACCTACCATACAAGTACCACTGTGATGTGGAACAGTAACTACAATGGTCAATCACATCCCTCCTTCTTACTGCTTTATTTTCCTCTTAATTTTCCTTAAGTATTCCACATTGTTCCAAAACGTTTCCATGAGACTACAACTGTTTAGAAAGTTTATACCAGGAAGAAATTAAGTGTATGGCAAGGTAAACCAACTTAGGGTACCAGGAATGGACCATCAGTTCAGTAGAAGTTGATGAATAATACAATCAATAGAGAAGGTTTGCGGATCTTCTTTCTTGGCATGTGTTCCTTGTAGAAAAATTCTAGTGGAACTGCTCAGAACCATCTTACTGCACATATTCCCCAACATCTTTCCTTCTACTTAATATATACAATATCAAAACATTCAAAGGTGTCCTATTGAGCGAGCTCATTTTGGCCTGGGGGGGAAGGAAGGAACTTATTTCCCCCTACATGTTGACTTCAACAGAGATGTGCATTTATTATGTGAGAGCAGAATCTAGGAATAAGAGCAGACAGAAGGAAAAGCGTATGGATTGCACAGGATTTTCACTTTTAAACTTGGAATGTGATCCAGATTTTAACACAAAATAGAGAAACAACAGAAAAAAAAGTGTCCAAAGATAGAAAAATACTGCTCAACAACTTAGAGAAAGGAACAAATAATGAAATTACAGTTCTTCAGTCACAGAGCCATGAACATAAAGATCTTAGCAGTGTTTTGAAACTTGCTAGAGAACTCATAGGTTCATCATAATCACATCAAGAGTTCATCATAACCGTGCCATAACTCAGCTGTTTTACAAAAGCAAGTGCTATTAATTCAGTTACCTGCAGGTGTGAATTCAAGGCTTTCAACAGATCAGACAGTATCACTCCAACAGCTACTGTCATTTCCACGCATAAGAAAATTCCACACCAAGTGTTAATTCATCAAAATATGCTTCTGCTGTTCGAAGTTAGCACTTTGAAATGAGTCACCTTTGCATGGCAAAAGGCCTAATAAGTTACGCAAGAAAGCTATGATTTAATCATCTTTCCTTATATTACAGTCCACATATCAAGCACCTCTATTATAAAGAGGCTTTTACAACATTATGCTTGATTTTCACATTGAGAACAAAAAATTCACAACATTTGGAAGTATATGTATTATGTTATGGGGTGAATGGACAGAAGAATATGATGTTGAATAGCTAAGCACTTCCAGACTACACTTACTATCATTCACTAGTGGCTTTAATTTCTCTATACTTGGGTCCTTTTTCCTCACATTTCTCATTCCAACTTAGCAATAGGTTCTATAAAAGCTGACAGGACTGAGGAAAAAAGAAGTATTTTTTTCTTACATTTCAACCAAACCCTATCTCTGCAATTTTGCTGTGGAGGAAAGAAGCCATATCAGTGCTGGGTTGGAAAAGCAGGATGAAAACATCAATCATTCTTCTATGAAAAAAAAAAAAAAAAGAACACCAAAAAGCACACTCAAACCAACTGTAATATTCTGAACAAGCCGTGCAGTTTGCAATGAAAATAATGCTGGTTGCATGCTGTTGGATGTCTCAGGGCACTGGTCTTTAAGACATTAGAAGGCTACACTCGAAGCCTTGCACCAGGTTGGATACAGGAATCAAGCACCTGGATCCAGGATCTTGGAATATCCTGCTGCTTCTATAAGGCATACACCTGTCCAAATATCCAACTTCCCCTTGTTATCCCTTCCATACACTAACCCTCTTCTGCTAATGTGGCAGTGAATAATTATTTTAGGCATGTAGAAAAATAATTAATAAAGCACTGAAATTCTACTTGTGCCCCAGCCTCAGCCCCATGACTTTAAAGAGGCTGCAAAGTTAAAACACTGGGGAGAGAGCTTTCTCTCTCCACTGTATGCTTTACTTTAAAGTATTTTCTGTACACAGAATTAAACATTTTTATCTTCATTTGAAATGCCCCGAGACTTTCCTTTGATGTTAAGTCAGGGAAGAGGTGCACTCCTTGCCATTCACAGGCTTTGTGCGATTTTGGATATTTTAAAAGACTACTAGTTTTTTTTTTTTTATTTTTTTATTTTTTACTTGCATCCATGCTTCAGTTTCTTTTCAGAAAGCAGAAATACATTTGAGAGAGAACTACAGTTTACTATAAAGCCAGAATCTGCAAACACAAAAGGAGAAATGGGAAATCTGAATAATATTCTCAAAAGCATCACTGCTTCATGAGGTAAATTTCAAGAGCAGCACATTCAGTAGGGTGATACTTCTGGTCTGCTCGGCTGCAGAGATTTCTAGGACAGACTGCACTCACTTTCGTTTGTGGGAATCTTCACAGTATTTATATCAGACAGCACAAAAGTTGTCGATGTAATTTCATGATGGTGGTCTTCAACGGTGACACAACATGTAACTAAAGTGATGAAAAAGACTGCTTTTCAAGGAAGCTCTGTCATGCTTTTATAGAAGAGTACACAGACTTCTTGCCTTTGCAGTGCACGTCTGAATGCAAATACGCATGCTTGATTTCCCCTGAGCGTTGTATTACTGACCTGGAAATTATTCTCCTTTCCCTGTTTGACTGTCATTTTTGTCTGGGTTATATGCATCTCTGAAACCAGACGTGCACACTTGATACACCTCCATTACTTGAAATTATCATGTATATTTATTATCTCAAAGTTGTACAGTTTGAAGTAGTGACAGTTGGTTTTAGCTGCTTGTTTCGTGATTGAGATCTGTTAGAACGACCAACAAACTTCCTGAGACAAAATACAAAGTATTGTAAGGAATCTACATTATCTCAGGCATTGCTACGGACCTCTTGAAATAAGGGGAGAAAATTCAGATTTTAGTTTTCTAAAGCATTTACGTGTAGATTTTACAGAGGCATCATCCATCATGTGGGGGAATCAGAATCACCCCCAGCTGTTAGCAAGGACAGGGCTGAACCGGCCTGTTCTGATTCCATCCAGAAGAGAGCAGCACTACATACCCACTGAGCATCTTCTCACAGAATCTTAGAAAACGACCAAAACCAATCACCTATTCTCTTCAGCAACATGCTGACATGTAAAACAGAGTAAATGCTAGTTTAATGACAAATTCATTTCTTTCAGTCACACAGAAGGTAATAGAAAGGGGATGGGAGCGGACATCAAATGTTGGTTGTTGCATTTTAGCTCTAAGACAGTAATTTACTTTCTATTGCCATTCTGCTTTAAAAAGAAAAAAAAGAAAAGACTAGTGATGTAGGAAATGATTACTTATGAGACTGATTTTTTTTTTTTTTTTAATAAGAAATTAAGGCAGGGGGGAGAATGATATCATCTAAAAAAATCTACCTTTGCAATAACTTTCCATACGGATGCAAAACAGATTTTGTAGACCTGAGTTCTTGCATAGCCTGCAACATCACAACATGCACCCAAGACTTCAGTCAAGTCAGCTTCCTTCACAATTTTCCCGACTGAGACACAAAAAGACTTTGCAGATCTGCATCAAAATGCTGAAGATCAAACTTAGTTTGAGTAGTGGCTGGAGTTTTCAGATCTCCTGAGCTCCAGATCAGCTCATATACCTGCAGACAGACCTTCCACCCCTCCTTGCTGTGAAGAACGCATTTCCAGAGCACAAACCATGCTCATATGGCATTTGCTCAATGTCACTGCCATGGGAACAGAGTGGGCTTTCCTCCTTTCCACCATATATTGCATGGTCAGAGCAAGGAGAAAACCCACATCTCCTTACTATAAAGAGTGTTGCAAAGATATAGATGAGAAACAGACACCATTTTCCAGCTGTCCTCTTACAAGAATTTCCTTCTACCATGACAGAATGCACTCAAGAAGGAAAGCCTCATAAAGCATTCTCTGTGAATAGTGATAACGCACAGAGGTACTCAAATGGAACATCATCATTATTTTCTCTTGCACTCCTTTAGCCTGTGGAACAACCACTGTGACTGTTTTCCAAATTATAGGCCTTACTCTCATTCCCAGCTGCTGCTCTTTGTTCTTGTTTGTGCAAGATAAGGCTGAGAAAAAGCAAAAGGAGCCTGGAGATTTTTGTCAAACTGCAGGAGCGAGAGAAACCTGGGTGCCTCTCCTATGCCTGGAAAGGAAGGAGATGGAGAAATTGCTGAGGGGTAAGGATGGGCACAGCTTGAATCCTCTGTAGACAAAGGGTGAGGATATGCTCCTTTGCTAAAGCAGTGAAAACTGAACGCTGGGAAAGCAAGCTAACTAAATTTCACTCAAATGAGTTTTTCCATTATATTCCCATCAAAGGCAGAGAGACTCAGTCAACAGGACTCTGGTGAAGGACAGAATCTCTGCACGGTTACTTTCTGAAGAAAGAAGTCCTCGTTCTGTAGATATTACTAACAAGAATGCTACTAGTCCGCATATGGCAGTAGTAAGTAAGTTGTTACTTTGGAGAATGCTTTATTCAAGCTGTTCACAGCCCGAGAAGCCTGCATATACCTCTCACTTGCACATGGCCTCTGTGCTCAGGAATCCAACGTAAGGTTTATATCATCCCACACAGAGGTGCAGATGTCGGCTT